GGGGGGGGATGTGTTTTTTTTAATTCCTGTAAGAAGATGCCAAGGTATTGGACAGAGAAGAGGTTAACTGGGCTTTGGAAGGGAACACGCTATACACCTTGGTGGCGAGGAAGGAGAGTAAGTGAGTGGGGTCTTGCCAAGAGGCAGTGGGGGAGGGGCTGCATAAGAGAAGTTCATCTAGGACTGAAGAACTGAGGAAGTTTTTGGTAAAGCTGGAGGTCAGCCTCAAGTGCTTGAACAAGCTAATGAGGACTGCCTCTAAATCCTTGTGGGAGAACTCCCAGGTGAGTTGTTGGCTGGTGGAGGAATCAGGGTTGCTCCAGGTGAAGGCAAAGAGGGGTTGGGAGAGCTCATGGATGGGGATGTCAAAAAAGGTATCTTTGGCTCGGCGCCTGTGGCTCAAGTGGCTAAGGTGCCAGCCACATACACCTAAGGTTGCTATGAGCTGTGACGCCACAGCACTCTACTGAGGGCGACAAAGTGAGACTCTGTCTCAAAAAAAAAAAAAAAGAAAGAAAGAAAAAGAAAGGTGTTTTTGAGATCTAAAGCTGTGTAGTGGGAGGTATTGGAAGGAATGGTAGATAGGAGGGTGTAGGGATTAGGGACTACAGGGTGAGTAGGCTGAACAATTTCACTGACCGTCTGTAAGTCTTGTACTAACCGAGATGAACCATCAGATTTTTTTTACAGAAAGGATGAGAGTATTGTAGGGTGAGTTAGTAGGTCTGAGAATACTAGCTGACCGGAGTTTGAGGATGAGTGGTTTAACGCCCCTGAGGGCCACTGGGATTGGGTATTGTTTAAGGGAAGGATGTGAATGTTGGGGTCGGAGGGCAATGAGAATGGGTGAGTGATGGGAGGCCATAGAAGGAAGAGAGGCATCTCCTATAGTGGGGTCTACAGGGAGGTCGGATTGAGAGAAAGGAGGGGTTGTAGGGGAGGGGTTAGAGAGGAGCAGGATGGGTAGTGAGAGGTGGGAGCCAGGGGAATCCACAGGGTTGCTTGTAATCTTGAGAGGACATCTCTGCCTGGTAGGGAAGTGCTGTCTGAAAGAATGATAAGGAGTGAATGTGAAAGAGAGTGTCGGGAAAATGAACACCACAAGGGTGGAGCAGTGTGAGGGTGTTAGCAAATTGCCATCAATACCCCCCCCACTGAGATCTCTGTTTGTTGTAGGGGACCCTTGGAGCAGGGTAAGGTGGAATGTGTGGCCCCAGTATCAATCAGAAAAGAGATTGGCTTTTTTTAGTTCCTCTAAGAGACACTGGACCATGTGGTTATGGAAACAACTCCAGGAGCATCGGTTTGGTAATTCCAACTGGGGTCTTCCCAGGGGACGGCCCTAGCGCCGCCGTCCGGCAGGGTTTGGTCTGTCCTCCATAGATCTTCAGCATGAACCTGGGCCTGGCTCCAGACCTGCTCCCTCTCTTCCGAAGTTAGAGTGGAGGTGAGGATGACAGATAAATCTCGCCAGGTCAGATCATATGACTGGGTTAGTATTTTGAGAGTATTTTGTGGGATCTGTGGAGAACGAAGCTAGTTTCTGACTTATGTGGGACAGCTTGGAGAGAGAAAAGGGGACATGAATCCTAATGCTACCTTCCATTCTCACAGCCTCTTAGAGGGGTATAGAGGCTGTGGTGGT